CTAAGCTGTCAGCACAGAGCCTGATGCAGGGTTCGAACCCACAAGCTGTGAGATCAAGACCTGAGCCGAAGTTGGTCGCTCAAACTGAGCCACCCAGGCGCCACCTCTTTCCCAACTCTTTCCAGATGCTGCTTAGAAGCCACTCTCCTGTGAAGCTTTTCCTCTGAGGCAGGAATCTGCCTTTGTCCTATGTCCCCACTGTGTTGATCACTGAGACACTGTCTCTTTTGTTCCTATGTCCTTCACTTCCTATAGGTTGAGAGCACTCTAAAGGCTGTGTCTCCCAGATTTGTGTTTGTAATGCCAAGCTTTCTCTGGGTATGAAGGGACAAACAAGGGAGCAGATAGATGGACAGGCAAGATCAGGACTCAAAATGGAATATTATTCTGGCTGTGCAGGGGTGAGATGCTGCAAACTTTGGTCAGGTGGTGGCTTTAAGAAAAGGGAAAAAAAAAAGGAAGAACGAAGGGGACTCAGTAAAAGGGATGTGGGGCCTGAGGGAAGGAAGAGTCGCAAGATGGTGGCCCTGCCGACAGAAGTGGAGAAGCCAGAAGGGGAAGCTGGCATGGGGGTGGGGGTCGTTTGGTCTGGGTATGTGGAGTTAACGGGCAGTTGGTGGGACTTCCAAGTGAGGAGACCCAGCTGCCAGCATAAATGTCATGCTTGGAGCTGAGCAAGGTGCTGGGTTACAAATGGTGATGGGCTGCCTTTGGCCTGGAAGTAAGAAGGGAAGGCTTCTTCAATGGTGGAGAGCAGTGGGCTGGGGCCGGGGTCCTGAATGGGTGACTCCATGCTGACAGGAGGCAGAAGTAAGGAGGGCCAGCCTAAAGCAGAGCGGTCAGAGCAGCACCAGCATGCTTACAGGAGCTGAGGGATTTGAGAAAGGCCAGACTGCGGAGGCCAAGGAGTGGGAGAGGGAGGTCTCCGACTTTGGGATACGGCAGTTTAGGCAGTTTAGAGAAGAGCAGGCTGCTTCTCTGGAGAGGAGGAGCGGGAGCCAGGCTGAAGCAGCGGAGTGTGGAGGATGCTGGGAGGAAGCTCAGGTCCAGGGCTGGCTCAGGGCATTCGTAGGGGAAAGGGAGGGGGCATTGCTGGGACTTGTGAGTCACTTCCCCCCCAGGGGGAGGACTGAGGGCCTCTGAGTGGTGTCTGTATGCCCGATGGAGATGGAAGGGCATTCTAGTTACTCACGGGAATTTCCAGCCAGCTGGGGTGGGGTGGAGCAGAGATGCCTTGGATGTTTAGGGAGCAGCTTCTGAGAGGTCTCAAGGTTTGGTGAAGAAGTGGGTGTTGATCCGGCTCTGCTGGTTAGGGGCATGGCGAATGAAGTCAGGAATACTCCAGGAGACTTCCGAAGGCACTTCCCCGATTGGGTGGGGGAAGGGACACCAGAGGAGCCCTTGGGCTTTTAGACCCTTCTCCCATTCCACCTGTATGTCTGACCAGTGGGTCAGTCCTGCCATGCGCTTGAAGCTTGCGGGGTGCGAGGCAGAAACTGTGGCATAGAGCCCCGGGCTGGCACACTTGTGCTCTGGGGAATGCCAGGCCTAGTTGTTCCCAAGCACTGGGAACAGCCTCGCCCGCCCAAACCAAATGAGGAATTGTGGCTGAAAGGGCCCTTCAGATGTGCTCCGGCTATTTATAACCCAGCCAGGGCAGGGACAGGGAAAAACCAGGGACCGAGGGAGGGGGCGGGCTGTAAGGTGGGGTGTGCCTCTGTGAAGCCCTGTCAGTCCTGAGGCCCCAAAGAGCCTACCCCAAATCCCTCAGTCTCTATTTCAGCTTTGGTGACAGGGAGGAGCCTGTCAGTGGTGAGGACAGCTTCTCTGCTCTAGCAAATGGCACAAGCCCCATCTTGAGCTCAGAGCTTCCACAGACTTCTTTGGGGATTTGGGATTAGAAACTGTTTCCATTCTTCTCCTTTTCCCTCCTCTCCCCTCAACTCTCCATCCAGCTTGGAGGCTCAGCCAGGGGCCCTGTTCTCAGCTGAGGTGCCCAGTGGAAAGGAGAGGTAATGACAAGATGATGCACAGTTGACATTCCTTTGGAACTCATTTCCCAAGAGTTTGACCCTTCCCCGCCAAGGCCATTACCACCTGACAGGGGATATGACACGTGCGTAAGGAGGCTGGTGGTAGATACGTGCACTGATGGACAGCTCCAACACTGCATTATTGAGAGCGTGTGTATGAGGAGAAAGCCAAGGGAATCCCTGGCTGGAGACACTGTTGGGGGGCTGGTGGGAGGTTGAGGGGGTTGGCTTGAGTGGGTATGAAGCTTCAGGGCTCACCACCCAGAGTCCTGAATTTTCACTTGATCTACCTGGGTGGTGGCACCTATGATGCAGGTTTACAAAGGTAAGTGCTGTGTTGGTAGTGTGTGAAGCTGAACTGGATTCCAAGATGCCGGATCCAATGAGGAAACGGGGCAGAGGGGATATTCGGGGAACACCACCACCCTGTCCCCTACACCTACACAACTCTCAACTTCCCTTAGAGAAACAACCAGCTGCGAGAAGGCAGCAACCTTGTCTTGGGCCTAATTCAGTTCACGGATGTGTTTCATTTAGAGCGCACCATGTTTTGTTTTAATGTAATTCATCTGCCATCCTTTTAAAATTGAGAGATATCAGGGCGCCTGCGTGGTTCGGTCAGTTAAACGTCTGACTTCGGCTCAGGTCATGATCTCACGGCTTGTGAGTTCAAGCCCCGCGACAGGCTCTGTGCTGACAGCTCAGAGCCTGGGGCCTGTTTCCGATTCTGTGTCTCCCTCTCTTTCTCTGCCCCTCCCCTGCTCATGCTCTGTGTGTCTCTCTCTCAAAAAATAAACGTTAAAAAAAAAATTTTTTTTTAAATAAAATTGAGAGATATCACCTAAGACTCCAAATTTCCAGGTTCTCTAGAACAATCTGAGATGGGGCGACCTGAAGCCTGCGTTGCCCCTAGCAGCCATGAACTGGAGCGGAGTGGTGGTTTTTTCACCCAGCTCCTACGTGGCGCACTTCACTGCTCTTACCTGCACTCTGACGGCTGCTGGAGTCTGCAACCTTTGCCCTAGGTGTTGTGCTGTGAAAGAGCTTTCCCCAGGTGCTGCCCCTAAACTCTTCCCTCAAGAGAGTAAGTGTCTGCTCCTCTCCTGCTGAGGCCTAGACCACCAGATTGTGCTCTTCGCTGTCTGGATGGATTGAGCTTTGTAACCCCTGAGGAAGCCCAGGGGAAGCCTGCTGGGAGTGGGAAGGGCTGCTGGTGTTATCTCCCTGGGTTCCTTGTACTCTCTGTTGTGGGGCTGGCTCTCCTGGGCGGAGGCCCCTCTTGAGCGAAAAGAGCCCCACGGAGGTGGGATTGCTCATCTCAGCAGCATCTGTGAGTAGGAGATGTGGCATCTCCGGCCGTCCAAGGGGGCCCTTCTGCAGAACCTGGCTGGCACTTTTGCTTCTGTTGTGGTGACGCGGATCGGGCCTCCTCTGCACAAAATCTTGTTCTCCCAGCCACAGTGGTGATAGAAACTGTTTTCTCACCAGGCCTTGGCCTCCCCTCCGCAAAGGTGTCAGAACCCGAGGCAGAGATGAGAAGGGGGCTCAGCTTGTGGCCGTCCCAGGGTGACAGCGAGGCTCGCCCGGGTCTTCCCGGAGGCTGTGCGGGCAGCTGCTCCTCCGCTCCTCCCCCTGCCTGCTCCGGCTCTGGTGAGGGGCTGTAAATAAAGCCTGTCTCTGGGAAGCAGACCTCCCCCTGCGCCCGGCCCGTCTGCGGCCTCCTCGCCCCTCCTCCGCGCTCCAGAAGCCTCCGCCAGC